CATGTTCTAATGTTTTTCTAGATTGAATTGCTTGATTGGTCCGGAGAAGATCTATCTCCGAATAAAGATAAAGGTATTGAGAGATTCCAAATTGTTGCCGGCCAAAGCTATGCTCATCCAGAGGAAGATAGTACTGTAAAAAGTTAGTATCATGATCTAACAGTAGTATGTGCTATGTATTCTTTTTCTAATAAATTTTTTATATATCCTTAGTACACTTGACTGGAAAATACAATGGTCAAGTATTTGAAGATAGAGATGTAGAATTTGTTCTTGGAGAAGGAGAAGTTGCAGGAATTATAGACGGTGTAGAAATAGCATTGCAGCGTTTCTTGAAGAATGAGAAATCTAGGTTGCTAATTAAAAGCAAATATGCATTTAAGGAACAAGGAAATCCGGAATTTAATATTCCACCGAATGCGGACGTAGAATATGAAGTGGAATTGCAGAATTTCGAGAAGGTAATTGTGATTATTGGAGCTGAATGTTTGTTTCTAATTCTGTAAATTTCTAAATTACTAAATATTATTTAACAGGAGGCAAGTGTATGGTCAATGAAATCACTGGAAAAAATAGAACAAGCAAAGATGCAAAAAGAAAAAGGAACGAAGTACTTGATATCCGATAAAATCAATTTAGCCATTAAAGTATATCAGAAAGTTTTCAAATACTTAAATGATGCATCGAGTTTCGAAGATGATCTAAAAAAGGAGAGAGATAATCTCGTAATAGCGACTCACTTAAACCTTGCTCTATGTTACCTGAAAATCAATGAAAATGTTTTGGCTAGAGACGAGTGTACTAAAGCTTTAGAACTGGATTCGCAGAATGAAAAGGCTCTGTTCAGAAGAGGACAAGCGCATCTTGGACTCTCATCTCCTGAAATTGCTATTAATGATTTCCAGAAGGTTGTAGAAGTACAACCGAAAAATACGGCCGCGTCTAAACAAATTTTAATTTGTAATTCTCTTATTAAGAAGCAATTAGCTAAAGAGAAGAAACTTTATGCGAACATGTTCGATAAGTTTGCGCAGGAAGATAAACAGGTTTGTGAAAAACAATAATGTTGAATAATGTTTTGATCGATATAACCTTTTTCATGTGCCGAGTTTTCGTATCAAGTATTGCTCAAAATTTATTATGAATATTTAGCTATTTGAAATGAAAATTATCTCTGCAATGTGTAATAAATATACTTGGATATCAATTATTATCCATGTTTCAATATTGGCAAAAATGCCCGTAGACTCTGCATTTATCATAAATATTATGAATGATATAAAGGCTGATTATTTTAAATCAAATAAATCTTGAAAATCTTGAAAAATTTGTCAATGCATTTGCGTTTGACCATAAACCGTTAGTAATCTCATAGAAGGAGGAGCAAAAACTGAAGGAACAGCCAGACGTGATGCGTGGAACTCTAGGAGAATGGGGACAGGAAGAAAGACCCGGAGGTAGAGACGCGACTGCCTTTGAGAAGGAAAATCCTAACATACTTATGCTCAACGCTAATGGTTCTGGTGAATTCAAAAACATGTAAACAATGAACTTTTCTCTTTCGTTACACTGCCCCGCGTAACTGCCGACAAATTGAAGTCTCATCGCTCTTTATTTTCAGTGCCTTCTAAGTACTGCTATCTTTAACAAAAATTGTATGTGTTATAAATTGTATATTAAAATATCAAATATTTAATTTTAGCGTGTAGAATTCATATGAGTCGCTATATGAAAGTTTCTTGTACTTAATACACATGAGCGCATCATAAGAATTATTTTAACATACTGTCTTTTAATTTAAAAAAATAGATTCAGTTTGTTAAGTTTTTAAAGATACAATTTTATTAATGCAGTACAATTGTCAAAGTCTGGCTACGTTACGCTTAGTTTGATTCTGATCTCTCATCAATGTCCAATTTCCATAAAATTACGTGCGATAGTTAAATCAGTGTATTTTTCAAATTATGCCATTCCATTATAGTATAGTGCCATTTGTTTAAACTTTAAATCAACAATCGTACTGTGTATATTGTAGATCTAGAAAAGAATAATGTGGATCCAGTATGTGTT